CACTGGAGAATGCAAACAAAGCAACCTCAGAGATTTCAGGCCTGGCCTGACCTCTTAAACTTGCAGATAATGAGAGCAGCCTCAAGAAGAAGGAGGAGGAGGAGGAGGAGGGAGAGGAGGAGGAAGAAGAAGAAGAAGAAGAAGAAGAAGAAGAAGAAGAAGAAAGGATGAGCAGAAAGATTCTCAAAGAATAAGGAAAAGGCAGAAGATTACACAAATGTAAAAGTGATACCTTTTACTAGACCACTAAAATAATCAAACAAATTGTGAGCTTTTGTGGAGAAGATTCCACTTCTTCATGCTTAGCACAACCCCTTTATGGACAGTGCAGGAAAATTGTAGATAAGAGTCCAATAATTGATGGTATATGTTTCTGAGAGTTGATTTCAGTTCCTTTTGAGGCTCCTGTGTCAATCATCTTTAATTTATTTATTTATTTATTTATTTATTTATTTATTTATTTATTTATTTATTTATTTATTTATTTATTTATTTATATATAATATTTTACCCCACCTTTCTCCTTGAAAAAGACCCAAGGTGGCTTACAAAACTGAAAGGCAATACTTAAAGTTGAAAACAACGAATATACAATGGTGGTTAACATCACTAAAGGGCAATATTAAGGCTAAGAACAATAAGTATAAAAATATATTTGAAAAAATGCTACACTGAGAAATGGAAAATACAAGTAGTACTAAAAATCCAGTCAAAGCAGTAAGGCATAGCAATCCATCTAAAAATCACACACAGGTAGTTTAGTTACAGAGGGGACTTGCCTGAAGAGAAAGGTCTTTGCCTGCTTACGGAAGGATAGCAAAGATGGGGCCAGTCTAGCCTCCTGTGGGAGGGAGTTTCAAAGTCTGGGGGCAGAAACAGAGAAGACTCTCTGTCCTGTGTGCCCATCAGACAAACCTATGAAGATGGTGAGACTGAGAAAAACACCTCTCCTGATGATCTTAGCACCCGAGCTGGCTCATAGTAGGAGACACTATCTTTGAGGTATCTTGGGCCTATGCCATTTGGGGCTTTATAGGTTAAAACCAGCACTTTGAATTGTGCCCAGAAACTGATCAGCAGCCAGTGGAGCTGCTGTAATGGGGTGTGTGTGGTGGGATGTTGGGGTTGGTTGGTTGTTTGGTTGTTTGGTTGGTTGGTTATGTGATCCCTGTAACCAACTCCCGTCAACAACCTGGCTGCTGCATTTTGGACCTGTTGAAGTTTCCTGACACTTTGCATTGGCAGCTCCACATAGAGCGTGTTACAGTAATCAAGCTGAGAAGTAATTAGGGTGTGTATCACAGTGGCCAGATCAGATCTCTCAAGAAACAGATGTAGATGGCACACTAGTTTTAATTGTACATATGCACTCTTGGCCACTGCCAAGACCTGGGCATTGGGAGTGTACGGTAATCCCATCCCTATTCCTTGATCTGCCTTTTGACTGACCAGCAGCAGAGCCTCATGGTGCAGTGGTTAAACTGCTGTACTGCAGCCAAAACTGTGCTCACGACCTGGGGTTCAATCCCAGGTAGCGGCTCAAGGTTGACTCAGCCTTCTATCCTTCCAAGGTCAGTAAAATGAGTACCCAGCTTGCTGGGGGGGGGGCAATATGTACCCTGCATAATTAACTTGTAAACTGCCCAGAGAATGCTTGAAGCCCTATGGGGCGGTATAGAAGCAGCATGCTTTGCTTTTGCTTTGCATCTCTATCTTGGCTGGATTAAGTTTCAGTTTATTCACCCTTGTCCAATCCCATTACTGATACCAAACACTGATGTATAGCCGAAGCAGCATCCTCAGATTTAGGTGGCAAGGAGAGGCAGAGCTGAGTGTCATCTGCATACTGGAGACACTGGACCCCAAAACTCCAGATAATTTCTCGCAGTGGTTTCATGTAGATGTTTAGTAACATAAGAGACAAAACAACCCTGAAGGACTCTACAGGTCAGGGTTTTGAACAGGAATAACAGACCCTCCAGGAAGGACTGGAGCCACCGTAAAACAGTGCCCCAAGTCCCATCCCAGAGAGACGGGTCAGAAGGATACTGTGGTCCATAGTATTGAAAGCCGCTGAGAAGTCCAGCAAAACCAACAGGGACACAGATCCACTATCCAGCTCCCAGTGTAGGTGGGACCTAATTGATCTCTGTCTTATAACCAGGTGTGAAGCCAGATTGAAATGGGTCTAGATACTCTCTCATCCAGGGACCTCTGGAGCTGAGAGGCCATAACCCACTCTATTACCTTCCCCAAGAATGGGGTATTAGATACTGGTGGGTAATTATTCAGTATTGTGGGGTCCAAAGAGGGCTTTTAAAAAAACATTGCTCTTACTGCTGCCTCCTTTAAGCATTGTTTGGAATTTTACACCCCTCTCCCAGGACCAAAATGCTGCCAAAGTCTGTGATTGCCACCCCCACGCCCCTCCACACAGGCTCACATTGCCTGCTTGGAAACAAAACAACACAAAGACATAGCAACCTCTAGCACAAGTTGAGGGTTATACTTTGTGGTTTTTTTTTCACCAGCTAGAAATAGTCAATTGTGCACAATTAAAATCAAAATAATGTTTTTACCTGGTGAGTTTATTCAATTTGATTGATGTGAAGAATCCATGTAGCTGGTGTTGAGAGTTCACATTGTCTTGCAGGTTGTGCATAAACACACATTTTTTTAAAACATAAAAATCCTTGTTTATGTATAAGAAAGTGAGAAAAGAGATATGGTTTCCATGCCTCTCTACTTGGATATCCTGTGGATTTCAATGAAACTTAGTCTCGGATAACCTTGTACAGAACTACTGACTAAGAGGTTTTTTTATCTCAGCCCTTCCCCCCACCCCCCATTCTATAGGTTGTTTCATTCCATGAATTAGCTTTAAATGATGTTTGTGCTTCCATTTCCAATGTTCGGTCCTTTCAAGATAATAAGGCATTCCTTGACTATTTGTTTATCAATCTCCAGCAGCAGTCCTGTCCCCTCCACTTGCACTCCACATTTGTCTGGAGGGCCATAGACTGTCCTTTGGGAAAAGACTGAGCTGAAAACAGAAACTGAGCACTTCTGCCTTTTCTTTGTTATCTCTAGAAACAATAACAGATATATTGGTATGGGGAAAATGCAACAGTTAATAATTTGACTTGTATATTATATAAATTTACATATGCATATTAGACTACCTGTATCTGGAGCACTGGAATATGGTAATCCTTCTGATAGTCAGTCATACAAACAGACCATTTGATTACTCATGCCTGGGAATGGGACTGTGGACAGAGGGTATGTTACATAAACCCTTTGAGCAAAATTCAACTACTACCCTCACCTTAGTTTACAAAAGTGGTTTACTTTCACTTTTGTGGCAGCAAAGCAAACACTTATTTTCCTCATTTAATTCATTTCTTATTTCATTCATTAATATTATTTGAACTTTATTGGGAATTTGGGGAGGGATTTCCTTAGCTGCCTTGGTTTTTCAGTTAGGCTACTTCTTTTTCGAGGCTTGTGTTCAGGCAAGGTGAGTGATCTCTGGGGGTGGGGCAGATTGTTTATATGACTGTAGAATCCCTTTCCCAAAAATTTATTTCCTGGGTGCTTGAGTGTCTGTGGTACTGGTTTGGTTCTGCTTGCTAGCACCTCCCTCCCTCCCTCTCTCCCTCTCTCCCTCTCTCTTTTCCTTGCTTTCCGCCTATGTGCTGAGAAAGTACATTCAATTTAAAATATATATATTCTTTATTATCATTTTCATTAGTGGGACATGGGAAAGGGCTTATTTTTAAAGGAAGGTCACATTTTAGTTAAAAAAGATGGCCCTATGAACTTTTTTAGTTCTTCTCAGTGCCTTGCTTTTTAAATGGATGAGCAGAGAATGGCTGCAAGCTGTGTGCCAACTGAATCGAGTGACCAGAGTGTTCCTGAGCAGCTCAGATTAAAACTCTTCAGTCATGTAAATCTCGGATTGCAGTGATGGGTGATGGTGCACAAAACTGCCAGATTTTGTTTTCTTTAGAGACTGTACTGTAGAGTCTTACATTGATGGCTTCTAAGACTGAAGCAGGATTAAGGCAGGTGGAAAATGTAAAGGCCCAGCTTCCCGAGGGGGAGGGGGCAATCCTTTATTTGTAATGAACAAAGAGTGAGTGGGAAGAGTTCATTTAGTAATGTTTTTCATCAAGTTAAGAATCATAAGAGTTTTTAAAAGCTTCATTATATCTACAAGGGCCCTTGTTTGCTCATACAATAGCAGGAACTTGTGCTTTCTGAGAAGCTCTATTGAACACAACTGCTGTTACTGGCAGGGTGGATAGAGACTGGTTAAATACCATCTGAAGAAGTAAATCCTGCAGAAAAACCCCCTCTGGATGCCATATCTAATTATTATTTCAGAATATGGCAGCATAAGGTGTGAATCGCTCCAGCTCCAGCCACTTCTTCAGCAAATTACATGCAAGTACTGTACAACTTGCTTAAATCCTGCCTGGGGTTTGAATTAATTATGCATGCTATGAAACACTCACATAATCCTCCCAAGCCTGAATTCTTTAGATTAGTCCTCTCATGTATGATGTTAAAATTAGCTGCCCAGCTCATCCATCCCAGATCTAGCAAGTTTTAGAAAAATAAGAATGTGACCTTAATAACATAGTTCTTTAAGAGTTATTTTAAGGGAAAGCGTATATTGGCCACATAAAATTGAAATGCTTCTCATGCCTAAACTTTTAAAAGCTGGAATCACATTTTGTAAAGTGCCTCAAGTCTTCTCTATACCCCACGTATCTCACACTGGCATTTGAACATCGTATGGTTATATATAGACCTTTGCTGGGTTTTGCATCACCTTACAAATACTTTTGAGTGCAGGAAGGGAAAGATAACACTGTACCAGAAACAGCCCATGGGCACCACCTCAAGGATCATGATGCAACCATGTATTTTGGTATACAGCACCAAGAGTTGAGTAACTTCCTCCCTCTTCTTCCTTTCATCACAGCCCTGTGTAATGCCAAAAGAATTTCCCCTGAAGGCTTTCCTGGCTCGCCCCAGCAAGCTTTTAGGGCAACGAGGTGTCTACAGGAAGAGATTTTTAATCCTAGTGGAAACACCAGGATCCAGCATTTTGGTCAATGTCTTCAAGGCAAAGTTTGGAAGTAAGCTGCTACAATGATGTCTGTTGGCAGTAACTAATTGCTTTATGGATAATGAGGGGGCAATGAAAACACAACCCTTCTGCTGTTTGAGCCTGCTGAGTAATATATTGTATATATTACTCTTTCTGTGGTAGGAGTGAGAGGGTTTGTTTACAAGCAAGCCAGAGTGTGCCCTATTTAACTTTTTAATGTGAATCTTATGCTACAGGGCACTGGAAGAATGATGTTGCTTCTGCACGAGTGCTGAGTTGTGTCAGAAGGGATGATGCCACTGGGTTGTACTGGATGCCAGTGCTATGGATGCTGAATCCTTGTCAAAAAGTTCAAAAGTAGAAACCCCTTCCCTCCCCACCATTGTGGTGGCCACATTATTTAGTAAGCAACTGCCAGTGCTTCTACTGCCCCCTCAATTGGTATAGTACTGTTTAATGTAGTAAATTATTTCCCTCAAATGGGATAAGGGGAAATGGGAATTTCTATGGTAGGTTTGTTTTTTTTAAAAAAACACAAAACCTGATAATACTAAAGAGTTAGGAACGGGAACTAATGAGACCAAGATCTCCTCAAAGAAAAAAGAACAGTGACTTGTGGGAACAGGCTAATATGGCCCAGTTGGGCAAGTTCTGCCAGAACTCATCAGAAGATGACAGGGAGAACAGATACAAGATTTGGCAGACCTTGAACTATTGGCAACTCAGGTGGCCAAGGCTCAAAAGATGACAGTCCGGTGCCTCAGTCAGAGGAGGAGGCATGGTCACTTCCCAGCTCATGAAAACACCAGAGGATAAGGCATGAACCTGGATAGAAAGCACTTGGTGCTCAGCTGCAGGGAGAAGAGGCCTCCTTGAGAGTAGAAGTCCTCCTTGAGAGAAACTCTTTCTCTCATGGACACTTGGTGAACTACTCCCGCAGCTCACTTATGTCAGTTCCTTTCCTGGCTAGACAAATGTCTGCAAATCACTTATGTAAATTTTGATAGTCTTGCTGGAGACAATGTCTCTTTTTGCTCTACATTCTTTGTGTCATGTATCTTCACCCTCTCTTATTGACACCTTGTTGTGTATGACTTTCTGAATGTTTGATTATACTTGTTGGACGTTCCTCTTTTTTTCTGATACAACTGGACTAGCTTGATTTTGGAAATTGTCTTTGTATTACTGGCAAGCTTCTGTTTGTTAGACCTCACCCCCCCCATTGCTTTCTCACTAATTCTTGACCACCCTGGCTGGGCTTGTTTTGTGTCTCAGCCTAACAAGACCTTACCTTTGGGGCCAGCCTACCTGGAGGGAGGGCACTGCCTCCCTTGAAAATTGTCTAGTGGTTAACAGCCAAAGAATTAAATTCTAAGTTGCTGAATAGAAATCTGATTCGGGTCATTTCCAGGGACAGATTATTTTAAGACTTAAAAAGCTGTGAATGTGTACCTTGATTTCAGCAAAGCTTCTGACAAGGTCCCTCATGATGTTCTTGTGACGAAGCCGATAACATTTGGGCTAGATGATGCTACAGCTAGGTGGATTTCTAGCTGGTTGACAGGCTGCACTCAGTGTGCTTACCAATGGCTCCTTCTCATCCTAGAGGGGAGGGACAAACGGGGTGCCACAGGATTCAATACCCTTATAAAAGTCTTGCTGAAGGGCTTGGAGGGGATGCTCATTACATTTGCAGGTGACACCAAACTTGGAGGGATGGCTAACATATCAAAAGACAGGACCAGGATTCAAAATGACCTAAACAGATTATGGAACTGGACAAATAAAAGCAAGACAAGTTTCAACCAGGAAAATAAATAAATAAAATATTGCACTTATGCAAGAGAAATTAGATGCACAAATATAGTATGATTGAAGAATGCTTGGAAATAGTACACATGAAAAGGTTCTCAGCGTATGATGGAATTGGGAAATCATGAAACATAGTGTGTGCTAGGGAAACTAGGCAGAGAAAAGTCAAACTTTGAAGTGCCTCTGTCGCTGTAAATTGCCAGGAAATATTGGCTGGAAGACTGGCAAGAAGAATTGGCCAGAATGCATTTCAAAGAGGACTGGTCTCTGGCTCTCCTGTTCAAAGAAGGCTTTGATATGTGTATTAGAATTTGCTGGAAAAGTCCTTCCCACCCCAGCATATGAAAACTGGTACTGAGAGATGAAGCCCTATTAAGGAAGAAATCCATTAGCCTCGGGACATTCAAAAGGCCTTGCTATAATCAAGGCATATGAAACATAAGCTTCATTCTCTATAAAGAAGCCTGAGAGAGGCAGGACAGGAGAGAGAGTAGCATCCTCATATTAGGGCCAACTTTGTCTCTCACAAATGGGTCTGCTTACTTATCTTCGGGTTAAGGATAAGTAAAAGGGTTAGGCTAGCTAGGACTTTCTTATTTTCTTATGTGTACACCTTCTTTGAGATAATCCAAGACTGGTTTTGTAGCTTCCTACAAGTTTGTTCTTCAACATAAAAAACCCCTAAGATCATGGCCACTGGCCCCATCACCTCCTGGCAAATAGAAGGGGAAGATATGGAGGCAGTGACAGATTTTACTTTCTTGAGCTCCATGATCACTGCAGATGAAGACAGCAGCCACGAAATTAAAAGACGCCTGCTTCTTTGGAGGAAAGCGAAGACAAACCTCAACAGCATCTTAAAAAGCAGAGATATCACCTTGCCAACAAAAGTCCAAATAGTCAAAGCTACTGGTTTTTCAAGCAATGATGTATGGAAGTGAGAGCTGGGCCATTAAGACGGCTGACTGCCAAAGAATTGATGCTTTTGAATTGTGGTGCTGGAGGAGACTTTTGAGAGTCCCCTGGACTGCAAGGAAATCATTTTGAAAAAAATCAACCATAAGGGCTCACTGGAAGGACAGATCCTGAAGCTGAGGCTCCAATACGTTGACCATCTCATGAGAAGAGAAGACTCCCTGGAAAAGACCCTGATGTTGGGAAAATGTGAAGACAAGAGGAGAAGGGGACAACAGAGGATGAGATGGTTGGACAGTGTCATTGAAGCTACCAGCATGAATTTGATCCAACTCCGGGAGGCAGTGGAAGACAGGAGGGCCTGGCGTGCTCTGGTCCATGGAGTCATGAAGAGTCTGACACAACTTAACAAGTAAACAAAAACAATAAGTTTGTTCTATTTTTCCAAAGATGTTTTGAGTAACTGTCACCTTTTTACATTTTGTAAACATTTTATCCTTTTTGCTTAATTCTTTTCTTTTTTTAAAAAATAAAAAAACATAAAATGCTATATAGGGTTGGTTCAATTTTGTGTGCAGAGGAAATCTGGATACTAACTTCTAGTGTCTTAACTTCAGTAGGTTACCAGGGTGTAGAAGCAAAGAGAATGGATGGGGTGGGGCCACTGAGCACCATTGGGTAACACTTCCTAAAAGGCAGAACCACATACAGGATATTCTGTGCCAGGATAAATGGTCCAGATTAAGCTCAGTAGGATCCCTCATCTCCCATGCCTTTCTTATCTCAAGGTGGAAAAGGATAGAGGGATAGAGAGACTATCTGAGGAATAGACCAGAACAGCTTGGCAGAAAAGATGTATCATGACACAGGGTTTTAATGGATCAGCTAAACAGGAACCAACAATGTGATGCTGCAGGGGGGAAGAAAAAGCAAATGCTATACTAGAGTGTATCAACAGAAATGTATCAACCTAGCTTGCCCAGATTGAGGTAAGTACAATAATCACTCTATTCTGCTTTGATCAGACCTCAGCTAGATAACTGTGTCCAGTCCTGAGCACTATGGTTTAAAAAGATACCAAGAATCTGGAATGTGTCCAGAGGAGGACAGCCAGGATGGTAAAAGGTTTGGAAACCAAGTGCTATGAAGAAAGGTTGAGGGAACTGGGCATGAGGGAACTTCATGTTTAGCCTGAAGAAGAAAAGGCTGAGAGGCAATACGATAGCCATATGGCTGTCATGTGGAAGAAGGAGCAGGCTTGTTTTTTGTGGCTACAGAGGATATGATCAGAAATAATAGTTTCAAGTTACAAAAAAGAGACCTTGACTATACATTAGGAAGAACTTCCTAACGACGACAGGCATTCAACAGTGAAATTGACTGCCTTGAATGGTGGGGGACACTCCTTCCCTGGAGATTTTAAAGCAGAAGTTGAATTGTCACCTATCACGGATGCTTTAACTTTGGATTTCCTGCACTGGCAGGGGGCTGCACTCAGTGAACCTAGGAGTCCCTTCCAGGTCTATGATTCTGTTTGTGCCTCTGTGTAGCGTTCTCCATTTATTAGATCTATGTTTCTTGTTGTTTTATGTAATCGTTTATGAATATTCATGTTACTGAGAGGTTGAGCCTGTTAAAAATCCATTCCTGGTCTGTGTGACTTCTTATAGGGAATGGTTGGTGGCAGCATATTTATAGTGTGGCATACTCCAGTGGGTCTGGGGTTGCCACAGTCACCTATCACGGATGCTTTAACTTTGGATTTCCTGCACTGGCAGGGGGCTGCACTCAGTGAACCTAGGAGTCCCTTCCAGGTCTATGATTCTGTTTGTGCCTCTGTGTAGTGTTCTCCATTTATTAGAGCTATGTTTCTTGTTGTATTATGTAATCGTTTATGAATATTCATGTTACTGAGAGGTGGAGCCGAGGGAGATGCTATAAGAGGCAGAGTCAGAGAGTCAGGAGAGCAGAGTAAGTATGAGTAAGAGTCAGGCAGTAGAGAAAAGTCAGAGAAAGGAATAGAGCGTGTTGTTTGGGAAATTCTGAGGTGTGATTCGCTACTGAAGATATTTATGAATCAATCTCTGTAATCAATAAACAAAAGTTTTATTTAAAAGAACTTGAAGAGTGGATCTGAATCTTTTTGAGGTAATTGTGATTTAGGGATCACCTGGTGGCAGCAGTGTTAAAGAGGAGAGTGTTTGCCTTTGTGTGCTCTGAGGCTTGAAGGTCAAGCAAAAGGGTCATGAGGGTGGATGTCACACTCTGCTTTATGATGTCTCATAAAGCAATGTTACCGAG